ACGTTGGTAGTGAAGATTCTCACTTTGATATTGGTTGAAAGTTGTTTTGAGTTCCATATGTTCTTCAGTTGTAGGAATGCGGCCCTTGCTTTGCCAATCCTCGCACACAATGATCCATTTTTTAATGTATTTTTTAAGGAATTCAGTCATTGATAAATCTTCTAATTGAATACTTGTTATATTCGTTACGCTTGAATGCTACTACTAATTCGTCTTACTCGGAACGGAACGAAGAATCAAGGATTCAGAGACTCGATATGCTATACTGGTCCGTTGTCCCCGATTCAGCTAACTCAATCCATAAGTCTTGGTAAGATGTAGAAAGTGTATTCTACAGACAACTAGAAGATACCAGGTCCATCAAGCACACAAATCAAGCGTATTTATACAAAATATATATAATCTATATTGCCATGGAAGTTTTTAAACATTTAATCGATAAGTTCATCAATCGACTATGTGCGTGGGTGGCAAGAAATGCCCAAGCATACATCTGCATACAAGCTCCACAAAGATAAAATTACAAAATATGAGTTTTGGGGATCTAACGTCCCAAACAATACAAGACTCGGTTTCCTAAACTTTTTTTAGTAAACTCCAGGCTAAATTTACACAACAATTTGAGCACGAGAGAAGAGGCGTGAAGTGTGGAAGAAAACTCTATACTCCAAGATTTGTTTATGTCCAGAAAATCTAGCATATTATATGTGTTATAACTTAGGCCTTATGTCCTTTTAATGTATAACGTTATGATACCGCCAATTAAAGAACGGTGATTTATCGACCAGACTAATGATGCATAAAACACGTACGAGCAGTCTAGAGTCTTTACTGGTCCTTCTTCCTGCCTAGCCCAACCAGTTAAGTCCAGAACACCAATCCGAGCCTCTGTGATATGAATCATGTATTTCAAGCATTCTGAGTTTATATACCAACCAGACAGACCACATCGTACCATAAAATATGAAACAACATTTGTACAAGAATTAGCCAAATGTGTCTGTGAATGAAGGAGATAGTAATTGATAGACAGGGCATAACTCAAGAATGGTAAATCGTGTAATAATAGTTCGTAGGTCAAAATAAAACTCATAATAAGAGGGACATGAATATGAACAGCTTAGCTACAAAACAATTACACGATAAAAAATATACGTTTAGTATTGGTCCATAAATGGATTCTAAAGGTTACCATTCATTATGCTTATCGGGATATAACACTTACACTAATCTGATCGTTATTGTTCTCCTTTTTTTGTTACACTCCCTACCTTTTTTTACATCCCATTCTCATTGTTTTGTGTGGCGCATACATATTTGGTGCCCTCTTGTACCAATACTTATGTGTTCAAATAAATAAATAATCAACACCTATGAACTCCACTAGTCATAAATTCACACTAGGACTTCTACTGGTTAGACATTCATTAGAAGAGTTGAAGGTCTTGAATTCGATCACTAACAAACCCATCTCTTATCAAATCCATTAAAATACAGAAAGAATATCAATGGGACAATAATGAAATGTTGTTAATACAAATACACCATTTAAAGGTAAATGAATGATTGTTCAATTCTTTATGTTACATTTATCTAATGTTAAAATATTGTCAATAATGCTAACATTTATATATGTATCATCTTACTATCACACACGATCATATAGGGAGGGGAAATTCAAGTCACTGACACTTTGTAAGATCAATGATAACTTCAGACTACTTCGTTGATAAAACGTTGAATGATATATTTAAAACTTTAGTCACCTACCTGTACTACCTACAAATTCCATCACAATCATATAGGTGTATACACACGTTGTCTTTCCTTAAACCGTAAAATTAAATTCACTTTATATCTTTCTTTCTAAGAACTAATCCTTCCTTCCTTCCTTCCTCTATCATATCTTTATACATAATCTTTCTTTCATATATTACTACCATGTAAGTTAGTCCTTCTATGAGGTGTGACAAATTGAACCGATGCATACATGTGCCTGGTGCTACATTGTAACTGACTGATCACCTACAAATACTATTCTAATTCAAACAGAACAGATGCTTATTTATGATGAAGATCACCTACAAAATGAAGAATTCTCACAGATCTATAGTTTTGTTTGAGTTCGAATCCAGCGAGTGGGATCGTGGATGCTCACCGCTGAGGAGTCCCACAACAGAACGAAACGGTCGTCCAGTGCTTCCAGGTTTTCAATGGTGGTCTAACATCAATCGGTTCATGATCTCAATCAAGAACCTAACAATCTTCACAACCACTATACCGACAATAGAGTATTCATTCCTTCGTATGTTTTTCTTCATTTTTTGTTTTACTTCAAAATACACATAACATTTTTTCAAAAATAGTAATGTAAGACAATATTCTAGTGATTATGTCATAAAGAATATTGTTCAAATGAATCGATCGATAGATTGAAATGATAAATCATCAGACATTTTCTTTCGTTTTTTTGTTGTCTAAAAGAGAAAGGAAACACTTTCTGATGAATAGAACTGAATGTCTACTTTCCAAATCGATATCCAAGAAGTTAGACAGAGATTATCAATCGAAATGTTATTTGTAAAGTTCTATGTATACTACATGAATGTGTAATTTTGATTTAATAGGTCTACATAGAGATTATTTTCAAATATCAAGGGACAAATCTATAAGTGAATGAACATCTAATTCGCTGTACTTTCATAGAAACAACTCTTGTTCGCTTTCATTTACTTATGACTGTTTTGTTTAGTAAGATTATGAATGAAATTCAACCAATTTATTGCATATATAAAAACAGTCGCTACCAGAACATCTCGGACATGATATTGAGTGATATGGATCTAAATCATCAGAATTAAATAAAAAAAGAAGTGACCTATTAGAATTTTGTCAACATAATTGATCACACTTACCTAAAACAGACTACTAATAAGTACACTATGATTAGTATAGTTATGTTTAGTGATTGTGTAAGGTTTCTATAAAATGTCAATCGTGAATAAATATTATAAGAATGAAATCCACTGATATATTTCTTGTAAAGTAGTATGTGAAAAATGTGTGCAGAAAGTGTTGTTTAACATCAATTGAATGTACTTGGTAATGTAATCTACTTTTGACGATTATCTTCTTATTCAACCAGACACTCCTCCTTGACCAATTTGTCTATGAGTAGTAATTAGTATCTGATGGAATAAACTGAATTATATATGTAAGTATTTATGTATATGCATATGCTTATCTATATGTATATTATGATCTCTTAATTATGCGGAATGATCTATCCAACTTGTTAGCCATGAAAGTCTATCCTTTTCCTATATCAAAAGAACATTAAACATGTGGTTGAAAACAGCACTACTCTAACTTGCAATGTTACCACCAGTGATAAATGTTGTGTATAGGATGAGTACTTCATCAAGTCAAACTTTTAAGAGCTTTCACGACTGTGTAACATCAAATAACGAGTATTTTAAATGAGATAACATCAAATATTGTAGAATAAAAACTTGTAGCTTGACAATAGTTTGTTCACTGAACATGATAGAACACATATGCTTATAAACTGATTGTTAGATATAATTTCATTCATTTCCATTCAAAATATAAGCGAAGTACATCAGTAAACCAAAGAAAAAAAAAACGCAATCAGAAATTCATTGTTATCTCTTGCAAAAGTATAAATGTCAATCATGTTGATCATTCATCATTATAAAGTACCCTAAGTCATATACAATTGTTCTACATTATGGTTGATCAGATTCCATAGATCTAATCCGATTGTGATCATTTAACTAACTGGCACAATACCTAAGTTCAGTTTGTTTTACATCAGATGTTGGACACTGTGAACAGTTTTAGTAACTCACATGCAATTGAGTTGGTTCACATTTAATTTGGTTAAGTAATTTTGTTAATATCAGAAGGGGTTTTGCGGAGATTGTAGTAATTGCAACAGTTGAGATCAATTTCGTGGGTTAGTTGAAGTTAGACATTAACACCGTTGGATCACAGCCGGCTCAGTGGTCTAGTTGGTTAAGCGTCTGACGCGAAACTGATAGGTCCTGAGTCCGAATGCCATGAGGCGAGGTCGTGGATGCGCACTTCTGAGGAGTCCCACAATAGGACGAAACGGCCGTCCAGTGCTTCCAGGTTTTCCATGGTGGTCTAACTTCAACTGACTCATGATCTCAACTGTTGAAATTAATTTTGTTAACTTATTAACGAACTGAGTCATCCATACAACAACAGCTTATCTACATCATTGTATCCTTATTATTGTTGCGAATGTATAAACATGTATGCTTGAGCATTGCTTACTGCCGACGCATTTATTCACTCTGCTAGGCTTACTACTTAACCGCTTAATTGATTCGATGATTCACTCATTCCACTGTATATATATATATATATGTTCATGTTATTCATGTTCATTGCTCTGTCTCTCTCGCGCTCAATTGTACTCGCTTACTCGTACTCATATTCGCTGACTCACTCGCTTGCCTAGTTGCCTTTCGGCACAACTCATTCATGCTTGTTTAACGCACCTGTAATTTTGGATATATATGTGTGTGGTCCCATAATAAACATAATCAACACTTTGTATTCACCTTCTGATTAATATACTGTTGGAGCGTTATATAGGATGGTTATGAAAACGAACTGTACACGACGTATTAAGGATTATATTGAATACCGATCACTACAGTATATTATTACCCTGTCGCAATCATTCTATTTTATCTGTAGATCTCAATTTCATAAAGTACTTTAAGTAATAAATTGTGATGTACTTTATCATGAATCTTTTTCTCTATTCTCTTCTTTTCTTTTTAATTTTCTCTTTCAGGTACATCACAAGTTCATATTTTCTGTTTATATTCAATCTATTTAGATACTTTATTTTGCAATTTAACATTTTTACAAACATTCTTTTCAAGTTTAGATACATATTTACGATTAAAGAATCCAATATTTTATTTATCCTCATCATATAGAAGACCAGCATTATGGTTAAAAATAGGTTCACCATGGTTTATGGCTTGTATACAATCCATTGGTCAAATAGCATTAAGTGATCGTCGTCATGTTAAATTATACACTGGTACAATCGAAACATCATCATCATCATCATCATCATCAGTTACATCCTATCATGTCAATTCATATCAACATTATTCTATGTTGAATAAAGATCCTATAAATGATAAACAAACGAATTCTGAATGGAATACAGTCTGTCTATTATTAGATCCAAATTTTTTAATAATACGTACTGTAATTGCATATGCTTTACCATTAATCACATGTTTAATATTAATTGTATTACAATTATACAGTTTGCATAGATTACGTAATCATTCACCAGAAATGTTGAATGCTTTATTAAATGTACGTTACCCTAGAAACAATAATAGTACTAGTACTAGTAATAATAATAATAATACTAGAGAATACAATGAAGGAATGTGTTCACAAGATTCAGTCATTCCAAAACATGAAGCAAATCATTTTAAAAGACAAAATACTCAATTCATTTGGAGAGAAAAGAATACTGGATTATTGAATAACTTTCATTCAATCTTTGATGGAACAATGTCGAATAGAATATTGTTACAAAATCCTCAATATAGACAATTATCAATGATGACAAATTCTTATCAGTTAAATCCAGCTTATACAAATGAAACATTATTACTTAGTAACAATGGATCGATTGATCGAATACAATTAAATCAATCATCCATATCACCAACTCGTTTATCAACTAGTTATTTACCTATGAGTCATTTAAGTGATTTACAAACAACAATTCCAACATCAATTTCAATGTTTGAATGTCCTACACATGGTCGAATTACAATGACCAATTCTATAAGCCGTATATCTAATATTGGTATCTCGGAGAATGGTGATCAAACTGTACCAAATCAAAGTTCTAGTCTGATAAATAATTCTAAGACAGAAATGGAAAGAAATTCTGAAAAACATTCATATTCCACTTCAGTAACTACAATAACAATGAATTCTATGTCAGATAATAATCATAATATTAATAGTTTGTTTACAGGTAAATTAGGTTCGAATACTTTCAGTGAAGAACCAATTACTTCAAATGCTTTTTTATTTAATTTGGATGGTGAACAAGTTAAGTTATTGTCGTTTAATCATTCATATGAACCATTGAATTCAACTGGATTAGATCAGCATCATTATTATTTATCATCAATGATGTCACCAACATCATTCCTTGAATCTTCTACTTCTCCATCCTGTCAACATCAACTATTACATCATCAGCATACCTCTCCAATGACTTCACAAGTAGATTTTAAACTAACACATGGAATGCATAAATCAAAATCTGATTATCAAATTAAATGTCGAAATGAAATGACTTCAACAAACGATTGTCTCATGAGATCACATAGTTTAAAACCAAGTTATCAACAACAAGCACCATTTCATCAAAGTCAAATATTATCTAATGAGAAGAATGGAAACGATATGTTCAAGACAAATTTATGGTTGACTGCATATCAAGGTGAACAATTAGTGGTAGCAATTAATTTAGTTAGTTGTATTATTGCAGTTGGTACATGGTCACCATATATATTAGTGACATTAGCATATGGTTTATGTCAACCAATGAATATACCGAAATCTCTATATCATCAAATGATGAATTCTTATGGGACTTCATCAATCTCTACAAATTATCCTTTATCTTCTATTCAATCCATTTCATCAACTATGAATGATGATCTTAATTTATCAGATTATTCAATGAATAAATGTTGGATTCATTTAAGTGTTGATCGTATAGCAGATTTTCGTTGGTGGGCTTATGCATGCTCTGGACTATTATTACCATGTTTATTATTCTTTCTTGATTTAGGTTTACGTGAAGGTTGTTGGAAAGCGTTACAATTAAAGACTCAATCAAATCAGAATATTGATTCAACGAAATCACTTTCAAATAGTATGAATAAACAGTCAATCATTGATAATGAATTGAAATCTGTCAAAGTTTCTAATCATTCAGACAATCATAGTCACAGATTATGTGATCATTCATCAACAAGTCATAATATCAACACTGACTGTAGTATAAACACTGAGTCAATCAGTAAACTTTACAAGCTTCAACAATTTGAAATGATCTCAACTATTCCATGTACACAGATCAATGCATAAATGTGAAGTAAATATTTCTGTGAATGTAATGATCATTAGACATAAGAAGTTGATGGGAGAAAGCGAAAGCAAATCATTAGAATCCATAATATAATGCTACCTTTCTTACTTGCTTTCAGTCTTCATCGTATTGTATCATCACATGAATAGATTATGAATAAAATCTAATTAAAGAGATCGAACACAGAGCTTTACATTCGACTTTTTAGTATCTAGACAATAGAATTATTGTGCTACGACACCAGCTACATAACAAACTACTTACTGTCAAGTCATTACAAATTCTGATGAAATTGTTAACATAAAGTACCATTTGGTTAAACAGTAATCCTTTCGAGAGAGAAAACGTCCTTCACTTCGATTAAAAAAAAGAAACAAACAATTTAGATGCAATTTGTTATGTAACATTCCAATGTAACATGCCTTCAGTCTTTTAGGTTGTATAGTTGCTTTTTGATGTTGTTAACAGTTTCCATTTAGACTTTGTTGTAAATAATATTTTGATAATAAGTAAATAATAAGTAGTTTGCAATAATATTCGTAAAATGATATTTGAAAATACTTAATTATTTATTTGAATACTTAAATATTGGTAGGAGCCAGCACCAGATAACTATGCGCCACATAAATCTCATTTGATTTGTATGAGGGATGGGATACTGCCCGGGTACCCAAACCAAAATAGGTGGTTTTTTAGGGAGCCACATCCGGAGCCTTCAACCTAAAGGTCTGATACACATGGCAATGGAGTAACGTAAGGAGATGCAGTCTCATGGTAGCTGGTGACCAACAATAGGTTCATACGCCATTTGTTCACTCAGAATACCGGAACCCATTTAAACCATTGGTTTCGAATCAGGATTTTCCAAGTTACCTAGCGGGTCCTCCATATCCACCAACCCGGTTAAAGCGCCGGACGTTCGTTCTCCTCCTCTCAATTTCGTAAACAACACCCCCGCCACGAGAAGGAAGTGAATAGGACTTCCCTGGCAGAGGCTATATACGCATGGCCATGTGAAGGCATTTCGAGAGGGAGAGCTGACTCTCCCCACTCTTGGCCGTACCAAGGCATTTGCGGGCAAAATGCAATCGAGCCTACCAGGATCTGGTTGAGACTACAATTTATGAATGACCTCTAAGAGACGTTGAAGTGACCTTCAGAATGTTCACCTATTACTTAGGACTAAATAATGATCATAAACCAGTGTGAGGAATAAGTGTCGCGATATACAGTTGATGGTTATGGTTAGGAATTCGATATAAGATTTTCATCACGAACTGATATCAGCTAAAATGTGAAAATGTTATTCAGCCAAAAGGGATGAATGATTTTCGCTTCAAAATACAAGACCTGTTTTCCTATATCTGATTGCTTCATTTATAAATTATAATCTCGCCGAAATCTTCATGGCTTTTTAACTCTTAAAGCGTTTTGAATTATTTCACCGTTGATATTTTCAATCAGTCTTACTCGATATACGTTCATCCTGTGCAGTTTGCCTTGGTGTGGCTGTTATGTTCTCCATTCAGTTAATGCATAACACGATATACAACTAACGGCACTCGAACGAATAGAACCACACAGTCGCAAATTAGAAGACAGAAGAAAGTGATTGTTTGGTAAGAATCCCAAACGCACTGAAAATCATAGCTATTTATAGACAATATCATTCGCTATAACATCACTGAAATTCAGCCAATCTTCAAGGAAGCAAGTTGTGCAATTGTCTAGTCATAGCATGCCATGGTAATACTCTAGAAAGCTTCGTTAGGTTTTGACTAATTTGAAACCCTTCGACTCCTTTACGGTCTCTAGAGGCTCCGTTGTATTTCTCGAAAACCATCCCAACAGTGGTCATTTTCACAGATTGAACTCATGAGTCAGTTGAAGCTAGACCACCATTGAAAACCTGGAAGCACTGGACGGCCGTTTCGTCCTAGTACGGGACTCCTCAGCAGTGCGCATCCACGACCCCGCACCACCCGGGGCTCGAACCCAGGACCTACTGGCACTTAACCACTAGACCACTGAGCCGGCATCCAACGGTGTTAATGTCTAACTTCAACCAATCCACGGTCATTTTGTCACACGTTTTATTGAATAAATGAATTTTAGTTAACTGCAGATTGCTGAACACGCTTTCCATCTTATCCAGGCATCTAAAGGTGAAGGTAGTTATTTAGGTTGAGTACATAATCAAAATACATCAATGATATTAAGTTAACATCATGAGTGAAAACGAATCCATATAATAATGATATTACTTAACAAACAATGTTACATCACTTATTCCTCTGTACAAGAGTCAAGTTGAAATCACCTAATCATCGTAGCTTTAGTGAAACCGAGAAAAGTAGTGTTCGCTAATCAGAAGTTACTTTTAACAAATTTGTGAAATTAACTATCCATAAAGTTACAGGGAACCTCGAAAGTGAGAACTTTACCTTCCTCCAAACATAAATCTAATGGGATATGATGAGAAAATCTTGTAGATTACTTTCTTCATCCTCTCCTATGTATTTGCTTTCACAATTATATGTATATTCATGTATTTATTTGGAAGTAACTTCAAAAGGGATGTTGTATTTCTGCATCATTCGGAATTAAACTACATTAACCAGTGTAGATAAAAAGTTATGATGTAATAGTCTGAAGTTTCAAATGATTAGGCGATATTTGTAGTACCACAAGAAATCAGGTAGCTGTGTTTTGTTTTTACTTAAGGATCTTTTTATTCGGCATTGAATATATTCTTGTACATAGTGGAATACCTTCAAGTTGAACGATTAATTTATCAGCCATAATGTGGTTAGTAGTCTGTATACTACGTTGCAGAGATACATGGTGTATATACGTTTGTCTATAAGACTATTACTTTTTATTGACTATAACTTGCTTGTAGACTACAAGTTAGAAATATAGACTGTTGGATCCTGAACAACTAATTTAGGGAGAATAGTAATTGATATGAAACCTGAAGATGATGGATTTGTATTGATTCGAATTCTCCTTTTAGTTTCGATCAAGGTCAGTTGTGACTTATGTACATGGTACTTTGGTTAGGACAGCTAAATACATTTAACTAACCATTACATAATAAATTGTTATTACTTGATAAATGAGTTACTGGTCAAATTATTCGTCATAACACAACTACTAATTGAGACTTAATTTTAATGTGTCATCCAGGCAACATTTACTTTTTCCATTTACTATTATATATGAGTGAAATATTTGCAAATCGAAGTTGACAGTGAAACAATTACATGTTAACAATGTTGAGTGGGAATTCGATTATGTAACGAAATGATTGAAGTTAGACATTAACATCATTGGATACCGGTTCAGTGGTTTAAAGATTAAGTGTTTGCGTGCGTGACCGATAGATTCTGGATTTGAATTACGAGAGCAAGATTGTGGATGCCTATTACTGAGGAGTCTCATACTAAGACGAAACGATCATCCACTACTTCCAGATTTAGATGGCAGTTGGAGGTAATCAACAGGAAACCCTGGACCCGGGTTTCGTGCTACTTGGCACTCGTCAGCAAGGTGTACCTGTAATCTTGAGGGAACTGGTGCTCCCTGGCGGATTCGATCTCGTGTCACCCAAGCAAGCATGACATTGATCACCACCCAGTGATCAAACAATTGTGACTACTTCCAGATTTTGATTATTATAATTTACAAAATACAAACCTAATGATCATCGGAATAAATTTTATCTTCATAATTCACAATTTTCTAATGTCTTAGTGCAATTGGGAAAAATGGATTAGATTAGGGTTCAAAGAAAACAAAGAATAAATGAAAGAAATGAAAATATATTACAGGGTAAAAATAAGACAAGTTAATGAAGAACATTTTTTTTCCCATCCACTTCATTCACTTAACTTCACAAATCAACATAAAATATCGTGAATGCCTTCGTTAAATGCAAATGATAAAAAGTAATATTGAGATAATATGATAGTTGAAGGTATTCAACAAGAAACCCTCGGCCTAGATTTTGTACCATTTGGCACTTGTTACTGGAGTGTACCTGTAATCTTGAGGGCACTGATGCTCTCTGGCTAACTCAATCTTGTGTCACCAGGTTCACAGTCAAAGACGTTAGCACTGGGATATCCGGGCCATGACTGCCCTCCTGTTGGACTCAGATGTATACACAACGTCTATGAATGTGAAGCTGGATAACGCGGGATCGAATCCGTCCGGCACCTAACAATTCCTTCAAGATTACAAGTACAACCCTCTGACGAGTGTCAAGTAACACGAAATCTGGTTTCAGGGTTTTCTGTTGAATACTTTCGACCATCATCTTATTTCAATATAGTACACACAATGTTGAGTCAACCAGACTTGTAGCTATATTGCAAATTGGTCGATAGCATTCGATCTGCACTAAGAACAACCTGACATACATGACATTGATCATCATCCAGTGATTAATCAATAATAGTTTATTCAGTAAGAGATGTTTGATTAGCGTAAAGAATTATCCACTATCATCTAAGCAAAATTCCAATGAAATAAAAGTTCTATAAAGATATCACTAATGAATATTCCAAAACTGTCTACAAGATGCTTTTAAAATGTAACTAGCACTTACTTATATTCATTCACAAATGTTTATGACAAGTTTTATTCCCATGACAGATTTTCTTTTTATTATAAAATATATAATTCATGCATGAATTCGATGATAATCAACTATCATTAGTGAAAGGAATAAGTAGAGTGAGAAATATACAAACCACTATGGTGATACTTTTCCTTTATCTTAGTAATTTGATGCATAATATATGTATATAATAAGCATTTTCTTAAAGCACAAGCATAATTAGTTATCAACGATTAATTCAAAACAGGAAATGCTGATATCCAGATAGATTTCGTCCATAAAGGATAGCTGAAAGTAAAAGGGGCATGAAAATGCTAGTTTGTCTTGATTATTGACACTTTTAGCAACATTAGGGATCAAACCTAGAACAGTGAAATCTTATGACTTGCACACGTTAATCACAATTGATTGAATACTGGGTAGTGATCAATGTCATGTGTGTCAAGTCCTTACTTAGTGCAGATCGAATCCTATCGACCAAGTTGCAATGTGGCCACTATTCTAGGTGACTCGACATTGTGTGAACAATGTTGAGATAAAATGGTGGTTGGAGGTAGTTAACAGGAAACTCTGGACCTATGTTTCGTGTTACTTGGCACTCGTCAGAGAGTTGTACCTGTAATCTTGAGGGAACTGGTGCTCCCTGACGGATTCGATCCCGTGTCATCCAGCTTCACCAGTTCCCTTAAGATTACAAGTACACCTTGCTGACGAGTGCCAAATGGCACGAAACCCGGGTCCAGGGTTTCCAATTGACTATCTACAACCATCATCTTAACCTGCACAACTTACCTGTAGACCAACAAATTAGAACTCAATAGGTCATATTACCAAATATGAACACTGTTATTAGACATATATTGATAAATTTTGAGATCAGTTTAGAAAAGTTCCTTAGAGGAGTCATCTACTTATCTGAACCAAATGTATGATCTCATGGCGCTGACAAAATATGCTATTCCACTTTGGATATGAACAAATTAGAGACAATTAAGAATACAACCGATCCCATGGCTACTCCACTCGTTTGTTTATATCCGACGTCTGCTTGAACTTAATTAAAGTTGAATTCTGATATCGATCAAAGGATTTCATTATGAAGTTAATGCTTAATTGTCATCTAATTGATAGAGTATTATTATTCTCTAGTAAAGTATAAATAAAATCAAGGCCTCCATCAATAACGATTCTAGTGTATTATGGATACAACATTACAATATACCATTATTTCATTTCCTTTGACGGTCAGATCTGAAACTTTTGTCAATATTGAATAAGCTATTTTAAAGTTCTTTCAAGTATTTCGATGGAGCAAATGTTGAAGTGTTATGAAATCTACTATAAGAGTTTTAATAGTCATTTATGTTTATGAATTATTTTTTGATAATTCTCAATATATGACATGGTGTATGATTTGTAATAACCTTGCTTCGTTAATCAATCATCTCCGTAACCGTTATTTGATAAACCTCAACGATGTTTGAAATCAGAAAGTAAAAAGAAGTGGCAACTACAGTTTATTATCCGCTAGCACAGACCACAAATTTATAAGCACATTAAGCAAATTTGAAGTGGAGGGGGAGGGGAGGTAAATAAATATGTATGTGCAAATACATAGGTAAATTTACAGTGAAACTTCATAAGGACATAGCACGCTAAAGCAAGGACTAATCATAGAATTTCAGCACATATATACATGGTGGTGGGTGGGTGGGTGGGTGGAGGAATCATTGAATGATATTTAAGCAATCAACATTTTAGCTAGAGTCTATCTTGTACTTTAGTGATCATGACAGTACATAGAAATATACGAATTGTTCCTATTCAAATGATATTGTCTGTTAAGTAAATTAATAAAAGGGTTTAATCAAAATTAACCATAATCGAAATTGGTTATAGGATAGTTGCTATAGTTTTGAAATATGGAGTAAACCATAAAGAGATATCAACGAATAACTTGAGTTCTTTTGAGAAATTCATCTGTCACTAACTTGACTCTTAATTTTCGTTGTAATGTGATGTAGGTTACTTATATCCACACAAGTAGTATATCACGGTGGTCAGGCATAGAATGTATTTCCTCAGAGGATCGATAACGAAAGAACGGGAACGGAATGCACTTGATATGAAAACGCATGAAGAATGAAATCTGAGACAATGGATTGATGTTTTCAATAGGAACAGTCAAGTTTGAGATGATGGATTGATATTTTGCGAATTAACGATTTACTATATGGTTCTCAGATTTTATTGTGATGCTCTGTAATTTTGTACTCGAATATATTCGATTGTCCCCACTGGTGTTCTTGTTCACTACAGTACTACAAAATTATTCTGCTCTATATTCTTTGTACCGTTTCAACTTAATTACAGTTATTTGATCGTGGTGATTTTACAAGGGATCAACGATGAAAGCTACTTTTTAGGGCATAAAAATAAATAAACAATTAAACTGTATTGTAATAATAACGGCCTCATTTAGTTTTATGTATTTATTTAAACACGAAAACAATGGTACAAGGAGGCACCAAATAGATATGCACCACATACATGATTCGATTTGTGTGAGGGGTGGAATACTGCCCGGATGTCCAAACCGAAGTAGATGGTTTTCTTAGGGGGCCGTGCCCGGAGCCTTCGACCTAGAGGTCTGATCCACAAGGCAGTGAAGCAACGCCAGGAGATGCAGTTTCATTTTAACCGGTGACCAACAATTGGTTCATATGTCATTTGTTCCTTCAGGATCCTGGGGTGCATGTGCACCATTGGTTTGGAATGAGGGTTTTCCAACTCCCCTAGGTGAACTCTCCGTGTCCATCAACTTGGTTAGTTTAGTGATTTCTAGAATATAATCAATGATCAGACTTTTACAATACTATGACTTCATCATAATTACACTTTCTAACATTAACTTAGTACTCAAATATTATGAAACTACTCGTTGAAATTTAGACAAACGTTTTTATATACTCGAAGTTTAATATTGAAATATTCAGTGGTTATCTCTAGCAATGTTATTCTTATAGTTATTCAGAGTTGATTGTTATGTTAACCATTATGAATAGGTGAATGTTTACTGCTCTCAGGTATATCAGTCAAAATGTATTTATCTATACCACCACCACCACTCTATTTCTTCCGTTGTTGAAATGAGGATGAATAATGTAGAAGATTGGCGCTAATAAATACATAAGATAAGAACACAGGAATTTTCATGAATAATGAGAAAGTAAATGTCACTCTCTTTAAAATTGTCTTCAGATAGGCTATATATTCTTTATTCTGCTTCTTTGTGTGTAACAGTTACTAGGTCATGCAGTACAAATCAACTTACAATTACATTCATAATCACGAATAATATCCCTTCCCTGTGTGATATCCAGTTATGAAACACTAAATAGAAATTTTTCAGTAGAAACTATCATTACAGTGAAACAGAAGTAACCAGCATATGAAAAACACTTCTATGAAACTCCAAAACAGTAAGTGAGTTTCTACTATTGGACGATTGGACAATCGTTTCGTTCTAGTAGGGAACTCAGCAGTGAGCATCGACGATCCCGCCCCTCGCGAGACTCGAACCCAGGACCCATCAGTCTCGCATGCGAACGCTTAATCATTAGACTACTAAAGGAAGATCGTGGATGAGCACTGCTGAGGAGTCCCACATATATATTTGTTAAAAAAATGTATAAAAGTAAAAAGTCAACTAAACTAGAAATGGAGCGTAATAGGAGACAAAGATAATAAAGAATATAATGTGAAAATGATTTGAAACGTTATTATAATAAGCTAATATTATTAGGGTAGGTTTATAATGAGAACAAAGTGTTTTTGAATACACATAGGGGGTTTGAATTTTTCTTATCAGTAAGGCTTCAATAAACCTTAGTATATGCCCTCTCTACAGTTTTGTACAACACCACAAAAGCCCAGTTAAGTTCAATCTTATGACCTGTTTCGATTATACGTTTGTGCAATAGAGAATGATGGATGTTTATTCTCTCCTCCTTATTGGGTCATTTGATTCTATTTATTTCTACAATCATTTAGGTACATGTTCACACATCCTAATTTTCAGATCACGATTACTCCTCCTTATTTATGTGTGACCACACACACATATTTAAATTAATAAACACTGTGGGATGTGACTCAATCGTTT